TCAATCACTTGTTCACCAATGAATTATCTGCAGTGGATGGGTGCCGTCAGAATGAGAGTCCAAACAGCTGATAAAAACATCACAATAATCCACAAGTAATCTTGTGGCAAACCTGTGAAGTGAAAAGCTGTGTGTTTATAAGAAACAAACTCCATTATCAAGATGTTTTTAACTTCAAACCATTGCTTCCAATTGAAATATGGGTCCATAATGCATAATATTGCTTTCTCCATCGGAAAAGTCGTCTCGTCTGAATCAGGAGCGAAATATGCACAGATTAACCACCATTTACAAGTCAGCTCTAAATAAGTATGTTGGTGGATTTTGATGTGAGAGGACAACAGGAGATGGACTTTTTCACTGGAATTATTATGGATTATGGACTATTTTTGCTGGATTTTATTTTGGCCAGAATTTCCGGTTTGAAGTTGAAAACACCTTAATGATGGATTTGTTTCTTACAGTCACACAGCTTTTCACTTCACAAGACATTAATGGACTGGAGAGGTGTGGATTACTTGTGGATTATTGTGATGTTTTTATCAGCTGTTTGGACTCTCATTCTGACGGCACCCATTCACTGCAGAGGAAGAAACACACTCATCTACATTTTGGTTGGCTTGAGGGTGAATAGAGTAAACGTACCTATTAAACTCGCGTACCCATTAAGCACACTTCCATTTTTGAGATCAGATTACAAAAAGAAAAGAAAAAAATATTATCCTACTTGATGTCTTAACCAATTGATGGGTTTGTTAATATATACCTCCTGTAATTTCAAGTCAATCAGACCATTGCACACTGAGATATATGAGATAACACATATCTCCATGTGTTCACTCTGTCTGGTGGCCATTTTGAAAGCTGTCTAAAAACTTTCACCAAAAGAGGAGCCCCTTAAATGTGCGTTTTTTAGATGTTTAAGCCTTTATTTTGAATGAGTTTCACTACTTATTGTAAAATGAAGAAATTAATGTTCAGACTTTTGCATATTATAACCTAGAACTTGGATGTGGGAAATAATTACAGTTAGATCCAAGAGATAGTTTTAGCAACATAGCGCAGATGCTACAGAACACAGTTAGCTGACTAGCTGTATACGATTGTCTGCTACGCTAATATATTACTTCACAGGCATTACTGGCTTATACTTTTACATCCATAATATTATAAATTGATAGTTTATTGCTGGTCTGTGGTTTTACAGTGCTGTAATTATTAAAGATTTTATATTATTGTAAGGTGTGCTTAAAGGGTGCACTACTATGAAAATCGCCCAGCTTCAGTGTGACATCAATAAGAAAAAGTATAATTTCATAGATAGTGTTAATAATAGTTGTTCATATTAAAATATGTATGAACTTAATACATGACCTAGTCTATTTATTTAGCAAAATCCTGTCATTTGAATAAATATTACATGAAATTTATTACAAATTGTTGCTGCTCCAATTAAGCTCAGTGTGCTCTCTTTAAGCTCTTCTACATTGAACGTCTGTGTAAATACTTCATAAACTTTAAATATTAACTGATGGTTGTCACTTCAAGTTAAGTTAATTGATTTTCTATAGATTCTGTCAACTCAAATCTGCAGACTGGCGAACACAGTTAGCTGACTAGCTGTATACGATTGTGTGCTACGCTAATATATTACTTCACAGGCATTACTGGCTTATACTTTTACATCCATAATATTATAAATTGATAGTTTATTGCTGGTCTGTGGTTTTACAGTGCTGTAATTATTAAAGATTTTATATTATTGTAAGGTGTGCTTAAAGGGTGCACTACTATGAAAATCGCCCAGCTTCAGTGTGACATCAATAAGAAAAAGTATAATTTCATAGATAGTGTTAATAATAGTTGTTCATATTAAAATATGTATGAACTTAATACATGACCTAGTCTATTTATTTAGCAAAATCCTGTCATTTGAATAAATATTACATGAAATTTATTACAAATTGTTGCTGCTCCAATTAAGCTCAGTGTGCTCTCTTTAAGCTCTTCTACATTGAACGTCTGTGTAAATACTTCATAAACTTTAAATATTAACTGATGGTTGTCACTTCAAGTTAAGTTAATTGATTTTCTATAGATTCTGTCAACTCAAATCTGCAGACTGGCTCTGACCCTTTGGCAACTACAGTGAACTTCTCCAGACTGTAAATCAGTGGAAAATCGGGGCAAAAATCATGTAGTGTATTCCAGCCTTAAGAGACTATAGATAAGTTGCCATCCCTTTAATAAGAGGCTTTATATTGAGGCTAGTTTCTGTGTTCATCCTCATGAATTAAATGTTTTATTGGTTTGTTTTATTTGGTTTTTGAATGTGTTACTTAACTGAACATGGACTAGTATAGATGTTGCAATGCGCTTAAATGATACTTTATTATGAATATATAACCGATCAAATTGAATGCCTTGTTGCTTGATTTTAGAGTTCTGTTTTTTTTGTGATTGACTTTGTACCTTCAAAAAAATATATTTTTACAATTATTCTTTAAAAGTTTTCCTTAAAATAAACAAGAATGTATAACAAAACATGATGTGAGCTTAATGGGAACAGGGGTGTGCTTAAAGGGTACAAACATGTACCCATTAAGCACAGCCAGACATTTAGAATTTAATGATGTACTGTATATCTTAACTGAAATGCTTTTGTCATTTCAAATAAAATTCAATATTATTCGATACTCAAAACCCTGAATCTATTGTCTGTTGACATGACAGTCCATTCCAAATGATACATTTTGTACAGTGAAATGAAATTTAATATTTTTGTGTGAGAGATTAATATTTTATTTTAACATAACTTTTTGTACTGAAACCAATATCTTGTGCACTAAACATGTCTCAATGTAGATTTTGGTCAGCTTAATAGGAACGTTTACCCTAAATGTTCAGAAATATATCATTTGTGGGTGAACTACTCCTTTAAATGGAACCAGGAATGAATTCCGGCTATTGGATGTCTGATAAACACATCTGATTCTCACTATGAATTGCTGCGGTAATAAATTTCGCGATAAATAAAAAATATATTTTTACAATTATTCTTTAAAAGTTTTCCTTAAAATAAACAAGAATGTATAACAAAACATGATGTGAGCTTAATGGGAACAGGGGTGTGCTTAAAGGGTACAAACATGTACCCATTAAGCACAGCCAGACATTTAGAATTTAATGATGTACTGTATATCTTAACTGAAATGCTTTTGTCATTTCAAATAATATAAAATATTTTTGTGTGAGAGATTAATATTTTATTTTAACATAACTTTTTGTACTGAAACCAATATCTTGTGAACTAAACATGTCTCAATGTAGATTTTGGTCAGCTTAATAGGAACATTTACCCTAAATGTTCAGAAATATATAATTTGTGGGTGAACTACTCCTTTAAATGGAACCAGGAATGAATTCCGGCTATTGGATGTCTGATAAACACATCTGATTCTCACTATGAAATGCTGCGGTAATAAATTTCGCGATAAATCAACATACCGAAGGGAACATTTGGTTTCCGTCACTCGAGGAACTTGAATAGTGTTATTATGTCAGAGTAACAGCATAATGAGCTTAGATTTTGAGGTGATGAATGGAGCAATAGAGAAAGCCTATCTTCACTTTGCATATGTTTGAGCTCAAGCCCATTTTTCGTGTCGAAACTGTCCCCAGGGGTCCCCTCGCGAGTCTAAGTGGCGCAAGATACAATACCCTCATCATGGGAAAATGCTTCCCCTGAGCGCCAACACAAAAACTGCTGCTCTTTCAATGAGCTTGCCAATTGTTGGCGTTTCTATACCGCGAATCGTTTGAAAGTTGCTAACAGACAAATGAAATCCATTCCAGTGGATTGAAGTCTTGCATGTTCTTTGACAGAGTTTAGCGGTTAGCATGTACAGGAGGAAGCCGCTCGAGTGTTTCTAGGTTGCGTATGCGATCTGTTTATGTAGGGTGACCTCTTAAAGTAAAGAAAATAAAGATCAGGGCAGCTGATTAGCCATGGGAACTTTTCTCGAAACAATGCTCCGGTTTCCTTCTCCGCGCGAGGCTGGTTCTCGCGCAGTCGTGAGCTCGGCACGCCGCTCACACGCTCTGAAGGTTTCGGGTTTCTAGTCTTGAAGTAGCATCTGTTGTGCCTCCAGGTTTAAGCTCTTGCTCAAACAGTTTTCACTTGAGGAGACTGGAAAAGTACATTGGGTAATGCAAGCATGCTGAAGTCTGGTAGCTAATGCCTGAGGATGTGGCATATTCTGTTTTCTATTTAGAAGAGATGACATGGACAGGGTTAATGCCATTGTGAAAGAATGCCATCTGGAGCTTTCCCTTCCATAAAAAGGCAGAACATTTTCAGTTTGATGTGGAAAATGGTCTGGTATCTTCATCTCACATTTTGCTATTTGGGAGTCTTATTGTCAAAGTTATTCATTTTGACTGAAATCTAAAAGCAAAATCTTGGATTTCAATGTGGAAACATTATTTAACAATTATGTAATGTTTAAAATATTTTTTAAATATATTTCTTTAATGTTTATATAAAATATAATAATTATTTATATTATATTATATTATATTATAACTTAAAATGTATAAAAATATATTTAAAAGATCAAAAATAATATTATAATTCTATAAATATTAAATATATTTTTATTGATTAAATATATATATATTTTTATTAATATTATATTATATTATATTATATTACGTTAAACTTAAAATGTTAAAAATATATTTAAAAGATCAAAAATAATTTAGGCATATAATTCTATAAATATTACACATATTTGTATTGATTTAAATATATTTTTATTTTTATTAATATTATATTATATTATATTATATTATTGATTGGCATCATTAAGTTGTCAGTTCATGTTTACATTATTACTACTGTATTTATGTTCAACTAACAGTACAAAACAGAACAATACAGTATTACTGTGATATTTAATTTAAACTTATATGCTCATGTCTGTTTGTTGTTTATCCAGCACTACGAAGGTGATGTGACATAGAAGACATCCTGTACAGTCAGACTACAGGAAGCTGGAGATGAGGATTGGGGGATTGTGGAGGACTGGGCCATACAGTCCCCTGCTGCTCTTTCTGCTCCACTCGCTGCTGCCTCTTATACGGCCCAGTAATGCTGGAAACCAGAATATACCACGACTGCAGCTCTCTCATACAGGTCAGAACTCACACTCTCACATACTGATTTGGCATTTATTTTCACGGAGACAATCAAAAGACAGCTGAAAAATAATGAAATCACTTCTGCAAAACGAATAGTTGCGCTCTCTGAGTGTCTTTCCTGTGGTAATCGGCAAATCTTCAGCTAAATCTTCTCTCTGAAGCTGCTTTCGCTTACTTCCGTTTAGCCGTGAGGACAACAGCAGGGTCAAGCTGTTTTAACAGACACAATGCAACAGGGGAAGAGTGCCATTAACCTCTGCTTCCTGAAAATCTACAAAGTTAATTAGTCTACTGTATTTTGCCAGTCTTCTTTTAAGTTTTTTTTTTAAATGTTTTAATTAAAGAGTAATTTATTATTATAAAATAATATTGCACTGTCCTATATAGTATTAAAATGTTTAATAATAATTATGTAATATGAGAACAACAGCAATGTGATAAAAGACACCACTGTAAATAGTTGTTTATTTTTAACAGTGATGATTAAAATATAGAATTATTCTCCAACATATCGTAGTCCATTATTAGTGATTTGTTGAAACTTCAAAAATAAAAAATGTAAAAATTAAATATTAATAAAAATGATCAAATATAATAAAATGAATAAATGTAAAAATACCAATAATTCATAAAATTATGTTTATATATAAGTGTTTAATCATATATTTTATATACTTAAATACTTCTACACATAAATATGACGTAAATCATTACAATTTAAGTTAATTATTTATTTTTAAAAATATAAAAATTAGGATGAAAATTATTTAAAAAAGAACTAATCAACTTTTTAAAATAAATAATTATATATATATATATATATGTAGAAACTTCAAAAGTAATTAAAAAAACATTTTACATTAAACATTTAAAAAAAAAATCAATAGATTATATATATATATATATATATATATATATTATGAAATATATAGTTATGTAAGATATACGCGTATATATATAAGCTAATAATTTATTATCCCAAAATTATACATTTTAAAATGAACATCAGCAGTTTCTTAAATCAAAATATGCTACGTGATAACCAAACCCCCTTCCTTCAGCCGCTCCCCATTTTTACATTAATAATAATGTAATAATAAAATAATGAAAAAGATTAATATAACGGAGTGTCTATTTTTGACACAATCGACCCGAGTTCAAATCTGCCTTTTGCCGAACTCCATCGCTATTTGCACTTAGTGAAAATTGCATCTATCACTAAGAAATAAGATTCTTATTAAAAGATTTTACCCAACAAAACAATTTACACCAAGAGAACAAGAAAACATAATCACTGATAAGGACGAAAAGATCCTGGGCCCCCTTAAGCAATACTGCCAGCCACCCAGCAATACATCACTGGACTGCTCTGCGACTGTCTGTCTGGACACCCACGCCACACAGTCTCATCCCCTGAGCCGTCTGCCATTATCAGCACGTCACAGCCGCCCCTGTTACTGACCCCTCAGAACCTCCCGGAACCTCCGGGATGTGGCCGCTTCCTCTCAGGAAGGTTCTGTATACGGTGACGTCGGACAGAGCGTTGTACCTATAGTGTAAATGTGCTTCCCATTATCTTCAGGGCTGTTAATAGAATGTGTACATCATCTCAGGGGCGCCATGTATTTACGAGTGCAGGGCGGCAGACATGCAAAGGTTGGCAGCGAGATGCAAAAGCCAGACTTTATTCATTAATGGAGACGAGTCACTTGTTTTGCTTGCAGGTATCTTGAAGTCTAATTTGAAAGCCAAGCTAAAGAAGACAGGAAATGAGAGCAAGTAAACAAAGAAGACTTGAAATAGCTGAATATGATGGTTTTATTAAGAAGAAGCTTTTGAGGGACATGACAGTTCAGGTTTGCATCTTAGACTTTTGTTTGGGGGGGGGGGTAATTGTAATTGCAATACACTGTGATGGTAGCATTTCATCATGCTACAATGCTAGCTTGTTACTGGAAAATTTGCACAAAAAAAAACATGGATATATTTTGCATGACTGAAAAATGTATTCTTAGATTATTAGTTTATTTCCTTCAACATGCTGAACAGGAAGCTGATGCTTATCACAATATAGACAACAAATTCCATTTTATTTGAAAGCAAAAGAAAATGATGTTGTTACTTATTCACCCAATTGTCAACGCAACCAACTTTACAGGCATCTGATACACAGTGTCCCCCAAGGCTATATCTTAGGTCCTATGGCATTTAAGTATAAAGGAATAGTTCACGCAAAAATAAAAATTCAGACACCATTTTCTTATCCACATATCTAATGTAGCTATAACGTAGTAGTGCAGTAGCTAATGTGATAATGCGCTAATTCTTTAAGTGTAGTTTACTACCCAGCACTGCTGTCCTCGTGCTTTTATTGGAAAGCAGTTATCATACTTCAACTAATGACTTGGTTCATTATTTTTGAATTGAGTCAACTTCCTCACTTAAACTGCTTATTTAACCTCAGAAGATGAAGTTCTGCTGGCAGACACACAGACAAGTGATTTTCCAGTGTCCTCTGACTTCCATTCCACTGGTGCTTACCAGTTAAACTCCCGCAAATTTGGGGGATTTTCTTTCTGACAAATGAGTGGATTAAAACCAAAAGAAACATTCCTGGCATTTGAGACTGGCTAAATGTCTCAATTTCTCCACGACAGGAAGGATTTTTTGCATCACACCCACCGGGCTCATTTTGACAGCTGCACCACATATTGTGTGTACTAGGAAGATTTGAGAAGAATATCTCAGATATGATCAAAACACTGGACAAACAATGGAGATTCACCTACATAACCTTTGCGAACTTGGAACTTTTGAGTCATTTCAATGAAATTATATATACTATATCAATTATATATCATATACAGTATATCACTATATATATTTCTTGACTTGTTCACATTGGCATACTCAAAGAGAACCACTAAATTAAACTGGGTTATTTTTCCAACAGTCCTCAGTGGCCAAATCTTAGCAAGACAGTAAAACATTTTTATTACAGTCTGTCATTGCAAAAATACAGCCCTTTGGCACCAGGAATGTGACCTGTGGGATGTAGTTCCTGATAGCTGACACAATGCTGCATCACAGTGATTACCACTGACTGTGTAACCCCTTTATATCCATGGCAACAAGGTGCGGGAGATAAGCAGAGCAGATGACTCAATGGTCCCGGGCTCTGGCACAGGCTAATGAAGCCACCGGGGTGTTAACACTGAACAGAGCCAGGAAGAAGAATGTTGCTAATTAGAAAGGAAAGATGAACAAACTGAATCACTTTCTCTGAGGCTGCTGGGGTATCTAAATTTAATCTATTTATTCTAAATAGACCTTTAGAGAGAATATTAGCTGTTAAGTTAGGTTTAATAGCACAGATATCTTCTGGAAATAAAGAGGACTTTAGCATACTTAAAAAAAAAATTCTTATGATGAAAATAATACATCTACACAGAAAGTATATTGATACATGCCAATTCAGAATCACATCTATTCTCTTTATAATATGGTTAATGTTTACTTAAATGCTGACAAGCATATACTGTGTGGTAAACTAAAATGTACTTTAATATACTTTCGATTGAAACTTGTGTCATATATTTAAAAATATTTGCAATTATACATTTGTAATGATAAAGTTGCAAATTTAGTATATTTAATGTATATTAACTTTAAGTGTAATATTCAATAAAATAATAATCTAGTACTTTACATGTGTTTCAACCAACTTTATAGGCATCTGATGAATGGTATACCCCAAGGCTATATCTTAGGTCCTGGCAATTGAGTATTAAAGGAATAGTTCTCCTAGAAATAAAAATTATGTTATCATTTCCTCATTTTCAGGTTGTTCTAAACCTGTATCTTCTTATTCTATCTGTGGAACTTAAAACAAGAATTTTCTATAGAGCTGTTTTCCATTGAGGAAAAGAAAAAGCTTTTACATGAATAACAAACTAATTTTTGGTGTGTTCCTTAAACAGAACTATCATATAACTTCAACAGACTAACTATTTCTTGATCTGTTACTTTCTAGTACTTTACATGTTTAAGTATGTTAGTCAACACATCAAAATACTTTAAAACATGACAAACAAATTTTAAAACATTTAAAATGTACTTTAATGTAAAACTTTTTATTTTAAATGATTACAAAGTGCAGTAATGAAGGAAACAGTCATGGTACTCTTTAAGTAACCTTAAGTGGCCTTTTATTTCATTAATGTTATATGCAAGTACAGTTTTTTTTTAAATATACTTTTTAGATTTGAAGTACACTGTATGTGCACATTCAGTACAATTCACATTCAATACTTTTTTCTCAAAGATAACTTCAGTTTGTTACCGCCAAAGCAAGAGCACAATAAACATGCACCCAGTGGCTGTGTAGAGAGATTACGTCGTTCCAGAGCGTAATGAAGAAAACAACTCTGGGGCCAAAGGGTGCCACAGCGGAGGCCTCTCATCCATGCTGTATGTCTGTAGAGGCACACTTTCCTCCTAGAGAGAGACATTTAGTCCACACTCCTCCTAAATAGGCAGCAAACTCAAAAACACGTGGGTCACAACTGCAAAAACCTCCAGTGGGATGTGCTGGTCATCAGAAGATCATTATTCTTAGTTTATGTTTCCTTCAGGGGTCTTCTACATGTTGAACAGGAAGTCAATGTGTATTACTTTATGGACAACAAATTTCCTTTCATTAGAAAACAAAGAAAAATTCTGTTGTTATTTACTCGCCCTTATGTTGTTTCAACCAACTTTACAAGCATCTGATAAATGGTGTCCCCCAAGGCTATATCTTAGGTCATATTGCGTTATAAGTATTAAAGGAATAGTTCACCCAAAACTAAAAATTGTGACATAAATTCCTCATGTCGTTCTAAACCTGTATGTTTCCATTCTATTTTTTTAAAACTCTACAAAGCTATTTTCCACATAGGAAAAGAAAAAGACTATACATGAACAACAAACAAAATTTTGGTGTTTTTCTCACGC